AATAGCTTAGAGACTATAAGTAGATAGATAAATAGAAAGACTTAATTAAATAGTTAAGTAGTATCTATAGTATTATATTAATTATAAGTAAGATAATTAGGTCTAGAAGTTACCTATAGTATAACTAGCTTATAATATATCTACCTCGGGAATAATAAAGCTTATATTAGCTTATGCTAACTTTAGATTTACCCCTAATATCTATAGATTATTATAAGAAGAACTCTTAAATATTAAGGTAATTCTTAGTACTAACTAGCTATAATAGCTATATAAAGAATAAAAATAAAACTAGAATTTATTAAAAAATAAATAAAAAAATACTATAACTAGAAAAAATTAAAGAGATTAACCTTCTAGGAGGAAGATATAATTTATCTTGTAATAAAAAATATTATAATAAAAAGGCTAAATAATAAATTGGAATTTAAATTTATTAGATTTTATAAAATTTTAGAAAATTTTTAGAAAATAACTATAAACTAAACTTACTATTAAAGATTAAGCTTCATCCAATCTTTTATATTTCCTTACTTAAATTAATAGTAGATACTATTTAAGTTAAAATATAGAATAATAATTAAGAAATAGAAGTTAAGAATAACTAAGAATTTACAATTAAAATAATACTTAATATAAAAAGAGAAAATAATAAAATAAAATATCTTATAAAATAGGAAAACTATAATTTTTTAGAAGATATATAAAAATTCTATAAATATCTTATATACTATTAAGTTAAATTAAAGAACTTTCTTAAATAAAAAAATATTCTAGGAAATATATATTAGGATAGATTTTAAAATATTAACTACTACTAGAAGGAATAGAAGGATTTCCCCTAGTAAGAATAATAAAACTAAAAGTAGCTAATAAAAAAGAATTTAATAGTATCTCTAAATAAATAGCATCTTAAATTATCTTAAAATCCTCTATTAATATACTATTTATAGAAGAACAACCCTTAAAGATAATTAAAAAAGTAGCTTAATACTATACCTTCTACTCAGCCTCCTCCCTTTCTACCTATTTAAGCTCCTCTATATTATTAATACCATGCAATATAGCATATATTATTTTTTCAAACTACAATTTCTTTTATTTTTAAAGATACTTAATTTTAGCGTCTATTTAGCAATAGGTATCCTCGGCTGCCTTTAGCTTGGATTCGAAATAAGCATAGTAAGTAGCAACCTTATATAGCTACTAAGGGAAAAGGCTATGAGTATTATAATATAATAAGTTAAGATAGATATACTTAGAATAATATAAAGAATTGCTTAAAGATATTATATAATCTATATCGGATTATTTATAGGTAGAATAAGAAGTTATTATAGTAATTTAATAAGATAAAATAACCTTAAGAAGGATATTATAATGCTTAGTTATTGGGGTGTAGGATTTATATTTCTTAATAATATAATTAGATATTATAGATAGAATAATAAGAAAGGGAAAAGAACTTACTAAATAGAATAATTAGGTAGGTAGCATATAATAATTAATCTTAAAATAAGAATTAATAGAGGGAAGATATTATATTATAATTTATATTAAATTAGGCCCTAATTATATTATGTATGCTAATAGTATACCTACTTATTCCCTTTTATTATGTATAGATTACCTTAATTATTAGATAATTTAAGTAATTTAGAAATATAAGAATTATTAGGATTATTAGATAATTCTTATAATCTATTAACTTACTATAACTATATAGTTAATTAAGTAGTATATATTTACTATATATAGCTATTTAGCTATTAATATAACTTAGTTACCTTAATTATCTTAACTTACTATATATTACTATACTTAATTATTACTAGATGTAATATTATTCTATAAGTAATACTTTAATTGCTTTGTTAATATAAATTTACAGTTTATCTACTAGTAACCTGCCTTTTATTTACTCTAGATTATACCTATAGCAAACTAGGAGATATAACTATTATAATTTACTAGAGGGTCTCTAGCTTTTTATAGATAATTTCTTAAAATCTAGCTATTGTAGCTAGATAATAAGTATACTATTAAAAAGCTTAAAAAAGTGGCTTTTTAGTGGTATTATTATTGTTATTTAATGTTTAGGGGATTCTGAGTAATTATGCTTTAAAATCAAGTTTCTACTTTGAAATTAAAGGTGGTTTAATTTGAGATTATTAAAGATATAGAGATATATTATATACTATAAAAAAGCTTAAAAAAGCAGCCTTTTTCTAGTATAATTTTTATACTTAAAATGCTTATACTTTTTAAAGTATTTAAATTATAAGTTAAAATAATTTGAAATTAAAAATAATTTTAAATATAAGTAGGGCTATTATCTTTTCTATATAGTATAAATAGTATAATTAATATTATATTTATACTATATTTTAGTGCTATTTATATAGTATAAATAGTATTATTAATATTGTATTATATTTATTTATAGAATTAATTAGGATTTAATTCTTAAGGTTAAAGATATATATTTATATATTTATTTAGTCTTTAATAATATTAAAGGTTATTAAGTAGTAAAATAAAATAATATTATAATAAGAGGAATATTCTAATAAAGAATATAAAGTTAAGAAGTATATATAAATAGAAAGTAGATAGTATAAGATAGTATATTATAAAATATATTAGTATATATTACTAGAAATCTTAAGTTTTAATTAGCTAGAAGGTCTCGGGCTTTTTATAGATAATTTCTCAAAATCTAGTAATTATAGCTAGATAATATATATACTATTAGATAGCCTGAAAAATCAGCTTTTAGATAATATTGAAATTATCCCCTATTATATTCTAGATGCTAAGATATCTAGCTTTAAAATTAAGTTAATTTTAAAGTAAATTAATTTTAAAGTAATTTTTAATTTCTAATTATCAGGCTAATATTAGCCCGACTAAAATAGTATAAATAGTATTAATAATACTATTTTTTATATAATAAGAGGATATTTTTTCCTGATTTTAATAACTTTTTTTTTTAGCTTTAAAGCTATTATAATAAAAGAGTTATAGTAAATTATATAGAATTAAATATCTATTTATATATTTAAAGAATATTAATAAATAAGATTATATTAGAATTTATAGAAATTAAGCTAGACTCTTTAAATTCTATTTAAATATTACTTTCTATAAAAATCTTTAAAAAAACAGCTTTAAAAGTAAAAAAAACTTAACTTTAATTATATAAATAATATAATACTTTATAAGCTTTTTAATTTTATAATTATATATTTATTTTAGTAAATTAAAGATTTTAATATTAAGTAGCTAAAGAAGATATAATAAGTATAAGAATATATAAATTAAAATAATATTCCTTCTCTTATAAAATTACTTAAACTTAGTAAATTAGTAACTTTTATAATTATTAACTACTAATATTTAATATTTACTTTTTATATAAAAAACAGTATATTTATTAAAATACTATATTTAGTTAAAATTAATTAAATTATTAGTCTATTTATTTTTAATAGGCTTAATAACTTAAAAAAGTAGAAAATTATATTCTATATATTAATTACTAAAATAATATAACTTCTTAACTATAATAAATACTAAAATTACCTAATTTTTAATATTAACTTCTTAAATTACTATTATTTATTTTTAATTACTAAATTATATTACTTTTACTTTTCTATATTATTTAAAACTAGTTATAATTATTATTAATAAAATAATATTATAAGAAATATAATAATTAAATCTAACTTAAAAATATAAAGTAAGTCTAAGATATAAAATATATAATTAAATAAATCAGAATATTATAATAAGTAATATAAATCACAATCTAATAATAATAAAATAGTAAATTCAATATAACTAAGTATATTAATAGCTAATAAGGCTATCTATCTATAAAAGTACTAAAAGAGTATCTATATACTAATAGTACTTATACAGGCTTACGGGATAAGAGTAAGTCCAATCCTATAGCTCATCCTGGGGAAGTAAGTCGTACGCTCGGGCTTACTTACACGGGGTGAGTTCGGGATCTGTGTCAGGTGAAAAAGTGGGTACGTTATAATTCTGCCAGTTGTGACCGCCTGGTCCCAACCTGGGCCGTGACAAGGGGCGAGCCCTGAATTTGTCCAACAATAGGGTTCTTGTATTTAGAAGTATCTTAAGCTAAAGAGAAAGAGAGAGAGAGAGAGAAGACCTCGCTAAGAGGTCGCAGTGAAAACTCTGCTTGCTAGCTGCACCCTCGGGTTATTGTACTCCCGGCCCAGGCTTGCACCCGGGCCTTCACTTCAGGCTCAGCCTGTGACAAATATCTATTATAAATTTAATTTTATTAAAGTTATAGAAATTTATATTTAAAATACTCTATTTAGCCTTTATATTCTATATAAATTTAAACTATATATTAATTATAACCAGACCTTTATATAAGACTCTCTAATAGTTATAGGTATAATTAAAATATATCTAGAGCTCTAATTATTACTTAATAAAATACAAGGCCCAGTACTATCTGACGCATCCTCTGTTGCATTCCAAGAGAAGGAGGTTGGCCATTTCTTCAACACCACTAAGCCGAGGGGGAAATCCTTGCGAATATAGGTTAAGGATGAACTTGACTAGAGTCTCTTCTTCAGGCTGGGTCAATCTCATAGAGTTAGCGCGGGTATTGCGTCGAGCGCGTCGTCCGTTCATTCTATTTCGTAATATATTGCGATTAACATTATAGATCGTAGCAGCTTTAAGAAGACTTAGTTTGGGGTTTTGTTTGATAGCCTGAATAGCAAGGACTAGATTGGCCTCTTTAGTTTTAGGATCCATGTAGTGTGGTTGAAGAAAGGGAAGTTAGAATATAGAAGGTAGGGATTTTATAGTGGAAGTGCCAACTCGCTTGTATTCGCAACTCGCTTGTCAACCACGTTAATTATAGTAGGGAAATATCTTACTGGGTAAATTAATTGAAGGAAAATACTATAACGTACATGATAAGCGAGCGACTCAGTCAAGCGAGCGACTCACCTAACCACATTGGACGCCGTCTCAGCATCCCCAGTCCAGGACTTGGGTCCCCGACATACCGGTACACCGGTGCACAGAATGCCTTCCGTGACTCCCCGGTGACTCTCCGCCGATACCTCTGTCTCTCTGTCCCTCGATGTTAAGGGTGGGGCAAGGTGAGGCGAGGCGAGACGAGACGCGGCAAAGCGCGGAATGCCGTCGTGGATGGCCTGGCCTATGCTGCCCTCATCGGTCCGTGCCCGGTCTGCCTACCGAGATGTCAGCATCCACGGCATCGCAGACTACAGACTGCAGACTGCAGTGCGTCCGGAGCACTGTACGAGCAGTGTGGGACAGGGGTCGGAGCCAGGCTGGTGCGTGCCCTCGCACGCTGACGGACTTCAATATCGATGGCGGGCTCGCATTTAGAACCCGAAATAGCCCAGCGTCCAACAAGCACAGCGCCAGAAACCAGACCAGAGCCACCAGAGCCACCAGAGCCAGGGCCAGAACTACAGTACAAGCCCGGGCCCCGCGCGTGATGTCTGAGGGTATGTCGGCTCCTGGTACCATCGCTGCGCTTGCGCTTGGCCCCAGTCGTTCGAGAGTTGGAACTTGGGAGGAGGCTTAATTTTGCCCCCACTGGCTCGAAGAACCCACTCTGCCGGCCGTGGGTACCGCTGTACCAAGCCCGGACCTGGCAGTAAACTCGGGACCCTGGGCCGCCTGCGTTTTCGCTGCCATCCATCCCCCTCTCATATTGAAGCAGCGTCATTGCTCCTTAGACATGGGACATGGGCAAGGGCGACAATGGCTCACCTCGCGACAGCACCAGCGCAGCGCAGCGTCTCATCGCGGGCGCCGTGTCATAAGGGCCCGATGTCCGCATCCTTCACTACCACCACGCACTTCACACCTCATTACCTCGAGCCTTGCACCACACCCTCGCCTTCCTTCACATCATGCTTTTAAAAGTGTCCGTATGCCCTCGATATAGCCTACCTCGAGCTTGTTTCTCCCTGTCTCTGATCTAAACCCCTCCTCTTCCTTCAACTTCCTTCAACGGCATAGATCTGCCTCTTATAAACGCCACAAGGACACTTTCACGTATGCCGAGTTCCCCTTCGGTGCCCATTTCATTTATTCATCCAGCTCTTCCGACACGAGGCATGCCATCACAATAGCCCTTTCTATTCTCCGTAAATCCCCAACCCTCCTGTATCCACGGCCTTTTCGCTCTGCCTCTGCTCGTCCCCTAGTGCAGACATCCTCGAGGCCGCACTGCGCTCCGCTCCTACAACCTAAGCATTTGGTGAGCTTGCCCATTCCGGAAAGTGGCCAGCCACACCATTCCCAGTCTAACAAATACCTACGTCAGTCGCTTCCAGCAACCATGTGCGACTTCACGAAAAATTACTACGTTTACACATCCTGCGTGGATCCCGGGACTCACTTCTGCAAGACCTCCACTGATGGAAACCGAAAACAATCCTGCCCCAAAGGCCCTCATGAGCGCTACATCATGATTCCCGAGAATTGCCCGCTGTGCTGTGGCTGAGCTAAGCTCGCGGGTTTTTGACTCCATGGCGGCCGCTCCTGTGACGGGACAAGAGCACGAACGAGGTCGGGTGCGACTTGGGTAAAGTGATTGTTTACAAGGAGAGAAAGAGATTCCTAAGGAAAGCTCCGACTTAAGCTATTTACACAATATTCATAAAGTGAGACTATTCATAAAGTATGAAAGTCACATGATCGTTCCCTCACAGCTCCCCCGCTGAGCTCAACAGGAGCTCTAACTTCTCAACTTGTCCTTCTTACTTTATGGTCCATCCCGGAACACATGCAGCACTCCTGGCTGGCAGGGTGTCACTTGGATTATCTCATCTGGTACTGTGGTATTCCCTGGGCTCTTTTGAGTAGGTGTTTGGCCACAACGGTTTTGGGTTGGCCTGGGAAATGCCTTCATTCTACCACGGTCGGTCCTGTTGAATCTCGGCGGCACCTCCAAGCAAGGAAATATTAGTGATTGCGGAGGGCCGTGATCGAACACGCCGTGGGCCGTGAGAAGTCGAGGAGGTATGGAGAATAGGTTACACTGGGTGTGGATCAAAGGCCCAGGGCGCCACGCGGAGAGTTCAAGCTGCAGCTTTGACCTTCACGAGAGGTGTCCTTGTGTTCTCTCACCGTTTGCGCCCCGCTCGGACACTACCCACCATGTGGGCACGGCGAGACTTTCTTCTTTATATTGGAAGAGGATGGGAGGACAAGAAGGGCATTCTACTGGTACTAGGCGATATTGCGGCATTCCAAGAGGTTTCTGTTCATACCTTCATACCCGACGGCTGGCGTTACGGTGTGTTCCTGTACGTCTATTGACGGATCCATTCAATCTATTTTCTCGAGTGGAGATTTTTCGAATGTCTCCCAACCGGTGCGGCAGGGTTTGCGTTCAACGCGGCATCGCCATCATGTTGGGGGTATAGTCTGGTATCCCCAGTGACAAAATTCCACGGCTCATGCCAGTGGCGACCACATACTAGATCGACTAGCCCTGCGCTCTCGACACGGAGGACTTGGCAGGGTCCCGTCCACGATGATAATGTCGCATGGCGTTGCCTTCTCCACAGTACAGTAGAGAAGCAGAACACACGCACAGACTAACTAACTTGAGTATGCTAGGTCCGAGATTAGTGAAAATACGATGATGCACCCATTCCGCCAGCTTATCCCGGTGCAGCTAGGAAAAGCAGACTTGGGATTGAAGCGTAGGGTATGGAGCTCGGTGCAGATAAGTCAAATCACGCGTGCCTCACGAAGTCAGGGAACAGAGACAAAGGCCGAAGTCGAACAGGATCCAACGGCTGAATGTCCAGTGGGTTTTGCCAATGGAGTCGTCGAAGAGCGCCAGAAAATATGGGCGACATGACCGTAAAGGTAAAGTTGACGGTCAGGCGATTCCCATGGTGTCATTCTTGGCATATTCAACTCATTGTGATGCTGGCTATATATCTTTGAGCTTGAAATGGAGAGGTATGCATACTTGGGATAACAGGGGTCAAGCGATGCCACAGGGGCAAGGGGATGCTAATCAGATGCAACCGGAAAAAGTGGCCCTTGCACTCCTTATTCCTCATTACCCCACTCCATCGCGCCCAAGACCAGGTGTAATCGATCGATTGGCGGGGAGATCTAGCTATGTAGGTACTGCTTTGCGATCTTGGAGAGCTCGCGGAATTCTGACACCATTGGGACAGTTTTCGTCTGCGCAGCTAGCACCGGTTCTCTAGGCCGCCTTGCAGTGAACAGGAGAAGCTATGCATAACGTGGGATCAGAATTGTCAAACGATATTCCGCCCCAGCCGAGGAGGCGTCCCGACCCACTTGGGCATCGTTGTTGTGTATATAACTGGGACCTTCGTCCTCTTGACTTGGGCAGTGGTTAAGGCCAATTGACTCTCAATAACCCCCACATGCATGGCATCTTCCTACTCACTTTGACAAGAATTATCAGCGTGGTGATTCCACGGAATTCAACTGGTTCCTTATCATCCTCACGCATTGACCGGAAAGCCAATTCCAACCTTCACTTCCAACGTCTATCGCAGAGATAAATAAATCCGAACGAACCACGGCGGGGACCCCCAGCGTGTTGGCGAGCTGTCATTCTTCGGGGAGGGTGTATTGGAGATAATATAGACCCCATCCAATCTCAAGCTATCGCCTTACCACGGACCAACTGTGGGCCCGGCTCTGAGCTCCCTCTGCATACAACAATGACAGCTCCTTGACGTCGTCGCAGAACAGTTGAGGAATCAGAGCAGGCACAGGGCCCAACCGAATGGATCGTACGAGGACTGGTCCCACTGGCTATCTGCTCGGACAGAATGAGTTAAGACCATCAGGGTATTACTCGTTCAAGACGTCAGTCAACGCACCAACACCGTCATGGTTCTTCCAATCTTCCCCAAGCTTATCACGCGTCGGGTTTTGGGACTTGTTTCAGATCAATTAAATGTAATAATCCCTAACTTTTTCCCCTCCGGAGACGCGTCAACAGCTTTCACCGACACTCCTCATGAACATGGAGAGATAACGCCCGCTGAGTACCAGGAGTGGCCCTTTCAAGGTGTAGCGAAATGTATTGCAATCGGCGATAAGAGGATGTTCCATTTGGAGTTTTCGCTCCCTCGCGGCCTGGGATATGCTAGTCTGCTGATGAGCGCGGTTGATTACGGACCGTCGAAACTGGTGTCAGGCCCCTTGGCGAATGATCAAAGAACACGGTCGAAAATGTCGTCCCCGGGTTCAAAGTCATCTGGTACTAAGTGGACGCCGGAAGAGGATGAGAACGTCCGCAGCATGAGACGACAAGGCTTCTCTTGGGACAAGATACAAAGCGCCCTTCCACATCGATCTAAGGGCACGATCAAAGTTCGGTACTCAACCAAGCTCAGATATTGGCCCGATCCCGTGGATTGAAAGATGTTCAGCATCGGCAGACAAGCGACCGATTCGTTGGGAGGCGTTGATGGAGAGAACCGGGACAGATAGGTAGCCTGGTCGCAAATCCCTTTGTGATTTCAATCGCAGTGCTGCCACTCGGTGGAGGTAACATAACGTCTTTACAACTGCATTGTATCTGAGACATAGTAAGGCAACAGAGATCAATTTCCACCCGAATAGAACGTCTTGGTCCTTCAACTGCACAATGGTGAATCAACAGGAAGCTCTTGAAGTCCAGCAGCCGCAACAGAGTGGATCAGTACGCGGCGCGGGCGCTCCATCTGCACGCACTACGAGCCAAAATCGCGGGTCCCATCTAAGCGTAAGTCGGGTGCCGTATCGTGCGATTGCGACCTGGGGAGCGAAGGCAGCCCTTCTGAGATCAAAAGAGATCTCATATCCGCGTTTCTGGAGAAGCATGGTGGCCTGGTGGGTATCAGTAGCGCTGACAGGTGGCAAAGTGGGCTGCAAAGCATTATAGGCTCTCAAGCCTGCTGCTAGGCAGGTGCATCGTGGGATCGTCAAACTCGATCTTCGGACCGCACAGGTCGTAGACACCAGTGCCGTAGGCAGGCAACTGGCAAATGGTTGTCACCTCAATAGGGGGTTGGTACTGGGGCCAGTGCTCTTCCTGAGATTGAGCAGCTGGTTGATGGTAGTTTTCGGTCGTCGGGGTTTGGTTCTGCTGCGCCTGGGAAGTAACTGGCTGCTGAGCCTGGTTCATGGCCTGGTGTATCGATTGAGTGTATGAGGGCATGCTATGGTGGGAATCCACTGGCGACGCAGCCTGAAGAGTGTATGACGGCGGCTGCTGCTGTTGGTGCGGGTAAAAGCCATCCTGCATCAAGGGGCTCTGTACCGAGGCCGCAGAGAAGGTGCTCGGGCTGCTTTGGATAGACGTTGCGATCCCTGAAGGTGGGTACGACATTTCCAAGGAAGATCTGTCAACCTGCTGTTGGGCAAGCTGATATTGGTGCTGAATGGGGTTGGTGCTCATTATTGCGATTCCCCGGTTGCTCTTGTCGGTGACATAATATGCTGGTCGAGGAATGCTCGCTGGTCGATGGTGCATATACATGCCGGCTTGCTGTTTGGCGACGGCTTGCGCGTGGAACTCGGGAGGCACGCTGGATGGGATAGCGTGCCGGCCAACGTATTGTTGTTGCTCGAGGGGGTAGGCGTGCATTTGCTGTCCAAATTCGGGAAAGGAACTAGCGCGGTGTAACGAGCCCTGTGGCATCGAGTTGACAGGAATTATGTCTTGAGGAGACCAGGTCATCGCAGAGGTCTGTGGAGTAGACGGAGATTCATCAGAGTCGGAGTCCGATAAGTAATCGTCCAGGATATTATCGGGGTTCAGTCCTTGCTGGTGCGACCTCCGCTGGTGCTTAGCCATGGTGGTTTTTCGGCAGAAGCTGTTGTCTTCTTAGCAGATGTAAGTTAACTTGTTTAGCCTTGCTAACCTCTTCAAGCAGCTGTTATGGCCACACTTGTAAAGGCGCTTCTCAGTGTGGATTCGTCGGTGACGAGCGAGACTGGAGGACTGTTTTACCAGTTAGTGGCTGAGGCTGCTGTAGGCATATGCAGCAACTTACGTCCGAAAAGAGTTTCCCGCAGCCAATATGTTGGCACTGGTGAGGCTTCTCACCGGTGTGTGTTCGGATATGGACAGTCAAGGCACTTCGCTGAATGAAGCTCTTCCCACAGCCTGGGGTAGAGCAAGAGTAAGGTCGCTCATTGGTGTGAATTCGATAATGCCTTTGTAGGTCAGACCCGCGATTGAAGCTCTTTTTCCTAAACGTTAGTCAACTAGATAGCTCAGGGGACTAGGAGGGAGCAAACCTTGGTGCACGACTGCCAATCACACTGGAATGGGCGAGCCGTAGGCTCGTTCTCAACAAGTTCCAAAAGCTCCATAGCAAGGTCTCGGGTGTCCCGGCTAGACTGTAGACTGCAGACGATCGAATGTGTCGGTGATATCAAGGGGCAGATGCTGTTCGGCTGGTCTGAGTTCCAGACGAAGGATTTGAGTGATCCACGCTACAGCGGACGAGACCACAGAGGTGCCGGAGGCCAGGATCCCGCTGGTGGGAATTGGATTTGATCACGCTCGCGGCGAGTTGGGAGATTGCGTGACAGAGACAGTCCTTGGCGGAGCGACGGGTTTCAGATCCGGCGATGTGTGACTTCGGAGGGGGCATGTCTAGCGCGGATGAAGACCAAGGTGGCTCTGTGTGCGGGAGTGTGTAGCAGCGAGAGCTGGGTCGGCAGGTGATCAATTATGCCAACCAGGTCGGTAGTTGGATGGCGGCGGCGAAGGTGGCAGAGGAAGAATTAGGGGGCATGGAAGAGATGAAGGGTGTATTAAGAAGGCGAGGAAGAGGACGAGATGGGGATTAAGAGGTGAGGTCGACGAGGGGTACTTAAAGAAGTCTGGGGAGGAGGGGAGGAAGGAAGTCGGTAGTGGAGGAGGGTTTGCTTTTTAATGTTAGAAGCCGACCAGAGAGGCGCGATGGAGGTGACCAGTGCTCAGGTCGTGGTGGAGGAGGGCCGATTATGTCGATTGGGGTCGAACCAGCTCGACAGGGATCAAGAGGGTGAGGGATGGGGAAACGTTGTGATATCAGCCAGGACCAGGGCCGGGCGATGTAAAAATGGACGGGGGGGGCCAGGGAGCAAGCGGCGAACGGTCACGATGATGCGCTTGGTTGTTAGTTAAAGGTGTGAGCGCAGGTGGCCGTGACAGGAGGAGGGCGAGAAGCTGGAGCCAGAGGAGGAGCCACGCAGCAGGTAAAGACAAAAGGCCAGGGGGCCCTGCTATGGCGGGTGTCATTGGGGCTCATTCGGCAACTGGAGCAGAGACGTCGTAGCTTGACTTGGTTAGGAGGAAGTGAGCGAGCGAGAGAGGGAGGAAAAAGGCCAATGAGCCATGGTGGACATGGTGGCGGATGGGACAGGGGTATGGTGGCCTTGGTAGTGGGCGTGGGTCAAAGATGAAGGGGAGAGAACCTGGAATAGTGGTCCCAAGCGTAGCGTCCGGTCGTGGTCGTGTAGGTAGGTGTGTTGACAGAGCGAAGGGATGACCCTGCACGTGGGAGCAGGTTTGAACCCTGCAACAAAGCGCTTGACATGGCCCTGAACGGCTGCACATGGGCATCCTAACGATGCTACCATTGAAAAGTGCCGCGAATCATACGATGATGTTTCCTGGCTGCCCAAATGCCGTGCCGAGGGCGCCACACAGACGGCTCGGAGAGGGAGGGTTACTAGTTCATCAATCATGCCATCTCCAATAACGGGATGGCTTCCCAATGAACTCAATTCGCCCCAAGAAGTCCGATACATGACGGCACGGTCCAACGGTTTCTGAGCCAAGCCTGGCCAGGAAACCCTCGGCCTCAAAGCTACCGAAAATTAAGGCTCATCACCGTATCACCGTATGGTGGCCGCAGCGCTCCAGGTTCCAACTGCATCGGCATCGAGACCATCCAGTGCAGCCGTCGTCCCGCGCATATTTTGCTCCACTCTGACATCTCTTAGTAGCCATTTGCCTGCTCGTGGTCCTCGTCCTCATGTGAGTCTATTGGCCCGGCCTCAAAACAACTGTCCCTGCGACAAACATAGATGTCCATCAGACCACAAACTGCCCCGCAGGTCAGTCCCTGATCCATTTTGTCAATCTTCAGACTTGAACTGTTTAGGTTAGTGGTCGAACGACATTGAGCAGCGCGGGGTAAGTGCAACACACTACAGGGCTGACCGATATGCTTTGCCTCTGCAGGGAACGGCGATGGCCCTGCTGACGCCCAGGTACTGTACCTGTATCGGTCAATCCTCCCTTTCCCGATTCTGTCTGCCTATTGCGAGCTGATGAGCGGTTCTTGACCGGTGGCTGGATAGTTTTGATGCTCAATCAAGGCTTCCCTGGCTTTCAATTTTTCCATGGCTTGGTCCCTTACGAACTGCCTATCAAGACCGGTCAAGTCCTAGTACCATATCACATGGTATCTCAAGATGGGTTGGCTAAGGGACAAGTGTTGACTTGGCCCTTCTCGTCGTCCTGTACTATCCAGTACATCCAAGAACGCAATAGTGATGCAATCTAACATGTCCGATACGCAACTAATCCCCCTTTGGTGTATGTTTTATTTCGCGCACCAGGTTTACTGCCACAGCGAGCCTCATTATTCTGAAGCTATCCCTATGGAGACAGGTTGCCTCCAGCGCCATCATGCATTCTGAGTCGGATTTGACAAGGTCAGTACTACATGCATGATCTGAAACACTGAGCCAGGATAGCCCCTGGGGGACGCGTGATCACGGACTGTCCCAGGTTCAGGGGACGAGCGGTTTGACCTATTGGACAACTTCGCCTTGGAAATTACGGCCAGGACAGGATGGAATCCTGGTCAGTACTGCTGGCTGCTCGCCTGTTTGCTGTTAGCTGCTTGCTCGCTGCGCTGCTATTAGTCCCTGTTGTTAGTCCTGTGCTACCCAGCCGCCCAGCGTCCGTTTGTCCAGCAGCGAGATGATCGCCATTGTCGACTCCTCACCCAGTTCCTCTCCGCGCACCGTTGATGTCAGTGGCCGCTGTTGCAGGCGTTGACGTCGCATGCGGTTCCCCATCCATCCAGCAGCCGCGGAACCGCAAGACTACATCCGCCACCGACCACCACCCAAGTTGCAGCGCCCTTGTACCACCACCTAACAGCACGACGACGACGACGACGACGACGATAGTGACGGCGACTGCGACGGTGACTGTGACTGTGAATGCTGCTACTGTACGCCAAACCAGGCCGAGGTCGCAACAAAACAACACCGTTCTGGATACGGGCCATGGCGCCTTGCCCAGGGAGCTAACCGCCTTATTTCCAAACGGAGCAATCCCCCCCGGCTCTTCGGTATCCTTCGGTAATGGTTTTTTTTTGGTTTCGCTGTGGGCAGAGTTGCGATTGGCATGGCGTCACCCACGCCAGGTCGCGTATGCCATTGCCCTGCGATGCTAGCGTACCACGCCCTCGGCGAGCACCGCCCGCGCCACCTCTGCCGCCAGGTCTGGCACACCCGCCAGCGCCGCCTCCACCTCCCCCCCTGCCCAGGACATCAGCAGCATATGGACGATCTTGGCTGCCATGAGGTAGTACGGCCTCTCCAGGTCGATGTTCCCCAGATAGACCGGAACAACCTCACCCTGGAGCCGCTTCAGCCGCGAATACACCAGACTTCTCAACAAGCAGTCAGTTATCAAGCAGTACTGATTACTGATTGATACTGATATCAGTCTCAGTAAACTCCTCATCAATCAATCAGTAATCAGTAACCCACGTGACCAAGTTATATCTAGCTCCAGACTTCTATAGCATAGCTGCCTGCTGCAAAGCATCAATTCAACTACTACGCGATCCGACGCGTCCGACGCTGTGCATTTGGCGGGACTTCCGACGTGATGCTAAGATATGTTAGCAGGTACAGCTATAGCACTGTGTTGATCTATGGCAAGCAGGTATCTTGCAACTGAAGCCATCGTCCCAGAATTACATACTTTCTATATGTTCAACGGCAACCTAATTTTATAGCTTTGAATTGAATGGGCTTTCTGGCTGGTTTCCAAAACGAATATTTGCAACATGAGAGACAGTGAAGTGCATGTTATCTTAGCAGCTGTTACAGGCTGAGGCCTGGGCACGGTTCCAGCTTTGCCGGAACCCAGCTAACTGAGAAGTGGGGCGACTTATCGGCGAAGTAGCGGCGAAGCCCGGACTTCGCCTATACCTTCATCAATCTTATTCTAGCGACTACGTTACTATTTAGCAGTGAGGAAAGGGGTTTCTTCCTTCTTCTTCTTTTCTTCTCCTTAGCTTTAGATAGACAATCCTACGGCAACAGCCTGTTGAACAAACTCCTGTCTAGCCCTTCACAGCAGCGAAACCCAAGCCCCTGGAGTTAAGAGGTACCAACCCCACCATTACAAATAGGCGGGATACGCGGTAACCCCTATCCGGCGCATATAGGGTAGGCTGGCTCGCGTATCATTCTCCTGAGCAAAACAGTTGAAATGCCAATAAACACGCTGGTCTCTACATAAGATGCACATTCATACAAGTTAAAGTATAGTCCCTAAATTTCTCTTGCTGAGAGCTTCTGTCTGGTATTGATTCCCCCGTGATTAGAGATATATTTCCCAGTTGTCGTTTTGCAGTCGAGAAAGCCATCTGGAAGAGATTTGTCCGGAGACTAAATCAAGTCCAGTCCGCTTAAACGCTGTTTACCTCTCAAAGTATTTTCGTCCACTCCCACCATTATATGTCATATCGTTTTATTTTCTGAAGAAGACAGGAGTCCAGGGCGCTAAGTCTCAGGGACTTTCGTATGACCGTGCACGCCTCGGGGCGGAGAATATTGAGATGATAGAGTGTCTGGGAGTCAGAACAAGAAAGACCTTATTCGGAAGGTGCATGTACTGCCAAATGATGACAATTAGGCTGAGAATCGTAGGAGCGGCGACACATTCGGGCAGTGCGCACAACACCACTATGTCTTGGCACTTACTGATAAGCTAAACAATCAGTATCAGTAGGATAGTAATCAATCAATCAGTATCAGTATAGGCCTTATCAATCAGTACTGCTGGTTGAGAAGTCTGTCTCGCTCCCTCCTCTCCGTGTCCCCTAACAATAATTCACCGCGACTTTACCTGACGATAATTCACCGCGACTTTGCCTGGCTGAGTCGTAGAAAACACCATACAAAAAAATTCCGCGCTATTGATGACCAGGGGGCAAAGTCGTGGAAAACCCAAGGGGGGTAAAGTCGTTGACATTTTCATCACTAAAATTTCCGCAGAGTAGATTTTCCGAAAGATAATATAAATGCGATATCACATATCAATTCTTAGCAGTATTAGAGCCAGATTTCGCTGCTGCGCCCGGGTTGAAGTTTTGCAGTAATAGATTGATGTGGTTGGAATTGAATGGCTATTATATAAGCTAAGGGCAGGAAGGTAAGCAGAATCGGGAAGGGGATATCAGAGGTGCAGTGTGTAGTTAATAGTATTTGTATTTGTATACTATAATAGAAAATATAGAGAAGAGAGAGTTGTATAAAAAAGGATAGTCGACCCCAAAGCTTCCATTGAAACCCGATAAGAAGAAGGCCAGATATAGCACAGCTGTTGTAAGATATAGAGAAGAAAGAGCAAAAGAAGGGGTTCCCCGTCGCAGAGTGGCGATAGCCCAGGCGCAGGTGAAGCCCAAAGGCAGGAGAGGAGAAGCAGAGAGCCAGGGCCGCTGAGCTGTCGTGCCGGCTGCAGTACAGGCTGCAGTGGATAGCCGAGACAGGCCCAGCAGGGGCGACTGGAATAGCAGGCATCGCGGGCATTTGGGACAATGTAGAGGCTGGAGCAATAGAATGGTCAGTATTGCAGGCAGGGCAGGTTGGGCAGGATAGATGTACTTGAAGGTCGTGGAAGCCGATGTCTGCAGAGGGTCCGGACGTGCAGCGTGGAGGAGATGATTGACGGCGTGGGCGGCGGCGACAGAGGGACAGGGTGAAGGATGAGGTTGTATGGGCGGCGGCGGAAGATGGAGAGAGGAAGAAAAGGGCAGAGAGGCCGGAGGGAGGGGAGGGTGTTATTTATGAGAGGGCGGCGTAAGGTTTGGTATCAGGGCTCGAGTCAGGGCTCGGGATGTAAGGTTTGGAGTCGTGGCCGGAGCCGGGTCAGGGCTCGGGATATAAGGTTTGGAGTCGAGGCCGGAGCCGGGTTTGAATTGGAGTCAGAGGACGGGATTCAGCTACAAGGTTCGGAGACAGGACGGCAGAGAGGTTGGAGTTAAGCGGGGCCGGCAGTGCGGAGCGGATGCGGGTGGGTCCGACGGCGTGGAGTGGTCCGGGCGGTTCAGGCTGCAGACGGAGGTAAATAAGACTGTGCCATGGTATGAAAAGTGGGACTGCAATATTATATGCTACCCGCAATCTGTGTAGGACCTCTACGTAGAGGTCTACTCAGTAATACACAATAGAATTCACAGTAGAGTTTATTTGAAGTCTCATATAAACTGAAAACGCGCTATTAATGACAGGGGGGTAGAGTTTATTTAAATTAAGGAGGTAAAGTTCAATTAGATTCCCAGTTGAAAAAATATATAATATAGGTATATATAGAAAGATAATATTTTAAAAGTATTATATAATTATTTTTATAAGTATTAAGTATATTTTATAGTCTTGTAATTAAGTTAAAGTTACTATTAATTCTAAGTGATATTATTAAGTTGGGCGGGGAAGTATAGGTACTAGGGGTAAAAGTAAATAAAAAAAGCAACTAGCTTAGGCCTACCTTTTAAAGTAATATATTAGCTATAGTATAAGTATAAATACACAAATCTATATTAATTATTATTCTGATGCTTTTATATACTATATCTGGCTTATTATTAATTCCAGTAGAGACTGTCTATCTTATTATAGTATATCTTCCTATTAACAACCTATATATACTCTAGCTGACATGCCGAGATATAAATACAGAAACTCTTAGATAGTTTGCGCGCCGATACTTCTATATATATTATATTATACTGGAGAGGGAGAGCCTGAATATGCTTATTTGCATTTCGGAGCACCCATATTTAGGACTGGAGGTGCATACTCTAGGCTTCTATATAAAGCGCCTCTTAAAGCTGGATGACAGTCTCGAGGAAGAAAATAGCTTCTGGGAAACTATGGCTAGAGATATAGCTGGAGATTCGGACTCTAATAAGCCTAATAGTTAGCTTAAATAGGAAAGAGATGCCAGTCTATAGCCTGGAGATAATGGTTTTCTAGATTAATTTACTATAATTATAAGTTGCTAGTATTTTAATAATTAGAAGAGCTTCTTTTTAAATCTGGATATTATAGCTTTAATATAAGCTATAGACTCTATAATTATAAGATTCTTCTTTTAATAGATGCTTATCCTCTATAGGGCACTGTGTATATAAAAAGGGAAGTAGGTAAGCTAGGAAGAGGCCTAGTGTATAATATAATTAATAATAAGTTATTTATAAAGTATATTATAAATATTATACTTATAGCTACTAGAGAAAGCCAGCTTTCTATTAAGAAATTATATATTAAATTTAAAAAGAAAAGTAAAATCTCAGCTAGTAACTCTATAAGCCTATATCTACTTAATTTACCGCCAGAGAGTATAGCAAGATAGCCGGATTTAAATTACCTTATTAGCCTTATAATACTTAAGTTAATTACAAGCCTGTTATTAAGGATAAGTTTAAAAAGGATAAAACAGTTTCTAGCTGGCCCCAGAACTTTTCTCATTTTCTTAAGCTCTTTCTATAGCTTTTATACTTTTTCTTAGCTTTTAGTAGCAATTTTAACTATAATATCGCATTATTATACCTTCTTAATATATTATTACTTTCCTAACTGCAGAAACTAGAGCTTATCTGAATTAATACTATTAAGATATAACTAACTGGCTTTCTTTTTTACTATAAATTAATATTAGAGGATATTATTCTTAATAAGATAAATATAATAAGGAGGATTAGCTAGATAATACTACTAGAGAAGAGTAAGTAGATACTGGGTATTTATAATATAACTCTAAAAGATTATTAGCTATTTTCTTATAGTTAGCTAGAGTATATATATAATTATAAACTGGAAATAGCTATATATAAAATAAAAAGAACTTCAAGTATATAATAGCAATAGTAGAAGAGCTGGATATAGTTTAGAATATAGAAGAATAGCTAGATAAGTATTTTAAGGTAATTTTTTATAACTAAGCTTTATCTACGCGTAAATAATAAGAACTAGTAATAATCTACTTTCGGGCTGCGTATACTAGAAACTAAGCTCTTTAAGCTCCCGACCGGTTTGCATCCCTATACCAAGGGGAGAAACGGTTCGTTAAGGTATCCAGGGCAGCTAATAATAGTAACGCACCCTCGTCCTGCCCTGACCCTATTATAGACTCTACCTATTACCTTGCCTAGTACATAGCCTAATAGAGCTCAGAGGTCATCGTCTCCAATCCAGCAGGCCATAGAAAAACAACATCTACTTTTGGGGACCGTTCAAAATAGTATAAACCGAGCCGCTAACCCTTAGTATACAAACGTAGGACAATATTCCCGGTATCTTCTACGTACCCCTTATACTGGACCTCCAGCGATACGTGGCGGTTAACGTTATTGGTATTATTACCGTTGGAACCTTGGAATTTGGGACGAAAGGCCGTGAAGATAAGCACGGACTCGCTTCCTTGGCTTTGGCCGACCCCGTCCCCACCGTCGCAAATGAAAACAGCCCTCGGTGAAACACGCTATATGTACGACTGGTCAATTGTACGGTCCTGATTGATAGCTGAGGCGGCAGCTATCAAAGCGTTCGCGTCGACGCGCTTTTCTCCATGCATCCGCAAAAGCAATCAACCACCGGGTACCCTGTGTTCCAGAGATAGAACTCCATCGCATGGTACGGGCAGATGTACCCTAGTCGACAGTACATGTACCTCACAAGAGTGTGCCTGCGAGGTATCTTATGCAGACATGTCGGATGCCCTCCGTCCTGCTGGCGGTTTTTGTATTGTATCCCGGTCGAGGTCGTGCCCGATGGGCAGGCGGCTGCACTATGGTGGTAGTGCATATGCCTAGATTATTTCCACTCGCCCAACTGTATTTCCTTCTTGCGCCAGCGTGAGCTTCTTCATCGGAGATATATATTTCCGGCTGCTTGACGTCTTGAGACCTGTGAGTGGATGCGTCCAAGTATGGATTTGTATTTTCAGAGAAGATAACTAGTAGAGGCCCAGCGCGTCTACCTACATAGACCCTCCACCTTGCATCCCCTTGAATCCTTCCGCTCCTTGCGTGGGGCACTGCTGGTTCGCAAGTCAATACCAATTTGCTCCTTAAGCCCGCAGGTTCAAAGGCTTCCAACAGGAATGGCGGGTAACGGCATCGGCAGTTGGCGCCTTGATTCCGTTTGGGAAGGCGTTTGGGTTGTTACGGAACCTGTCAAGATATAAGCCGGGTTCCTGCAAGAACCGATTATTCTATGATACACGTTCAGAGCATTGCTTAAGTGGTCGCGGCGAGGTCATAGAGAGGACATGATTGAATAGGAAAGGGCGACCGGATGGAAGGCTATTCAGATGCAAATAGAGGAGATGGGTGGTCCCACGGTCTGCATGCAGAGCAAACAGCCTCGCGGCGCGAAGCGACGGAAGCTGGCTTGGGCACACAGATTAGGTCGAGCTGTTCCAAAAGCTGGTGCAACAGCTGCGCAACTTGGTGCCCGTCGATGCAGTGCAGGGTACGCGGCCGGTACACGAGCTGGACACCAGGCGCATCGACAAGCTCGCACCCGGGTTAGGTGCGTATCTGAACGCTGCCTCGATGCTCGTCGGCTAACAGAGACTGGAACCTCATCGGACTATGCTTGGCCCGCTGAGCTGCAGCGGATCCTCGACTAGATCTTCCACCGGCCTGCATTCCAGAACTGGCTCGACTAAGAATTCTCTATAGGTATAAAGCTGCTGTAGATTAACGGACCTGTAGGGTTTGGGAAGATAATTTTCTGTATATATATTGTTGAATAACTTTTATCTATTTTTAAGATATCTGCTATCTATTTTTTCTTTTTATCTAATTTTAAGAGCTATAATAATCCTATTATAGCTATATAATTATAAATTCCTAGGTTATATTATAGTATAAAGATATATTTAAGTATATCTACTAGAAATAGAAGGCTAATTTAAATTCTATTATTACTAATATAAATACTATTATATTCTTTATATAGCTCCTTAGTATTATTTCTAGCTGTATATTTATTATTAATAGTCTAGATAAATACACTTACTTAGATAATAGCAGCATATTAATCACCAAATTCCTCCATACTGTTATAGACGCAGTCGTTAGGACGAACACTCGCGTCTCGTGGTTCGTTGTGCTGAGCCAGAGATCCGACACGCCTTCACAGACGACACACCCGAAAGCTTTGCCGAATATGAAATTGCACCCGATGACGTACGATCCGACACGACCGCCTATTCCAGAGATATCGTCGCCAGAGATATCGTCGACAGAAAACTACCTAATAAGAGCGACGATGTTCGATCGACCCTCTCCAAAGCATTGACCAGTCAATGCGAAGGCCAGATCCTCTGGCTGAAGATGTAGAAGTCTTTGAGGAAAGGGATGAATAAGAAACAGCTCTAGCACACCATCGAAGAAACTCCGGCTGGGCTGGACCAATCATACGACCGAAGCTGGCAGAGAATCACCCGGGCCCGAGAGTGGGAGAGGCAACGTATCTAAGCCCTATTAAACGATGGGCCGATGGCGTGTGGTTGTGTCGTAGCCTGCGACGGGAGCCCTGTCACAAACACCAAATTAGGCTTAGCTCTTGCCTTATCGGGTTAGACCACTGGAGCTCCAGGAGCTCCAGGACAATCAATCCAATCCAATCCAAATCTTCGAGAAACCCAAATCCAGTCCAGCCATTTTCCGCCCACTCTAGTCCAATCCAAATTGCCATCCAATCCAATAACATCACTGAATATCCGTAGCTACAACTCTTTTCAAGATGCCCCAGAGCGGCCTCCGCCTGGTGTCCTATGGCTTTGGGGAGTATGGAAGAGTTTCGTATAACATTTACTTACAGGAGTCCATTATAATATACCGTCGTCAAGCAGTCTTGAATTGGGTGAAGTATTTATTGTATTTATCCTAGTTGGCGTTATTGCTTTTCTTAGGCAACAAGTTTCGGACCCTGCCACTATACAACGCAATAAGATACGAAACCCACCCAGGGTACGAAGCTATTCCCTTCTTGAATATTTCTGAGCCAAGGCTTTTCGAGCGGGTCCGTACTATTCCACTTTCGATTTTTCCGAGCCAAGACTTTACAATGGGTCGAAGCCTTTCCTATTCAGAAATTTTCTGAGCCAAGATATCCTTATATCAGCAATTATTTTGTCGAGCTTCAATCCGATAATTATTCCAAACTCCAATAACTTGTGTCACCGGGTAGTAAAAAATATAGGACTAGATTTATTCGGCTACGATTTTATCGCTCTATGATTCATATCATTTTTGTTTTGTTCTGATAAAATTTTGTTCTCTGAGCATCCCATCATCCCTGACCCCAAAATCTCTATATGACAACGCCTCTCCAACCCCTACCCAACTTCAACCCGAGCACAATACCGTAAAATCAATTGCATTATATAGAAAATAAAGATAGGTACTGTTCTGGAGGGCAGCTTTCATCTTATACTATTAAATCCATATTTAGGCTACAGTTTCTAAATTATATCTACCCTTGAAATTTAAATTATATCTACCCCCTGTCGTCAAGGGTGCGGTTTTATTTTATGTTGGATTGTGACCCTGTATTACGAAACCTCTGATAGATCGATATCCTGACCTTAGTCAGAGGGGGTGTCAGATGACATAAAACCCCTCTTGAGAAAAGAGGGGGCCGGGGGCATCCTAAATCAAGACAATCAACAGATTCAGGATCCACACCCTATTGAGCATTAATCCCTGGATCGAATGTGCTGTACGCTATCCAACAGGAGTTTATACCATAAAAACTCTGGTTAACTCGCGCAGCCTAGCGTCTCCCTAAAAGAAAAAGCAACTAATAAAATAGGTTATTTGTGACGTTTTCGCGGTTAACAGTGGAAAAACGGAGACGCTAGGCTGCGAGAGTTAACAGAGTTTTTATGGTACTCGAGTTTGTGAACAAAGTCGCCATTTTGACCCTCTCCCGGATGGGGCCAGATGATACGTAAGTCCGTTTCCTGTCCAATCGGTAATTAGATGATTCAGAATACATTCTGGCTGCCTCCAGCAGGGTGCTTACAACGGGCATTGCAGGCGGAATTCTGTCGCACGGGTTTCCCAATGCTGCTCTGAGGAATTACAAGGTGCTGTTTCGGGGTTCCATTGAGCCTACTTATAGCGAGGCAGCTTGCTCTGGACAGCTGAAGGCTCAGCCGCAAGACTAAGAGGAGAATGATTTTGATTGTTCTCGCTGTGGGAAGCGTGGAATTTCCCGCTAATAATCTATTCAAATGTTTGAACTAGAGTCCATCATAATGACGCAAGTCCTGTGAGGGGCAATGGAGGCGATTCGCCAATCAAGCGCGTCACTCCCTCCGCCTGAATAGCGTTTGCATGTGAGGCTCGTCGCAAATTGCATGTGACGGTTATTCACGGTGGGCCGCAGAGCAAGGTCATTTCTTGGCAACCCGATTTCCGTATCTTTAGGCCTATGGAGCCTTACTCTGCCTTGATTGTAAGGCCTGCGTACCGCCGATCCCGTACAGGCAAGAGCGGCACCTTCGCCGCCGGCACCGGCACCTCGGGGCTCCACAACGCCGGGCGCTGCTGACCCTCTTCGCCCCCTACCGGCTGCGGCTGCCGGGCCAGCTCGAAGCGGATCTCGTTGAGCAGGCGTTCCTTGTTGGATGAGGACCAGCATGTTTTGCCGTTTCTGACCGCGTAACTGCGGTTGGACACGGTTTGCATGAACAAACGTGTCGTGAATGGCCGGGGGGGTCGGATAAGGACAGCGGCTGTGGATTCCGCTGACGGACCGAAGGAAATCGCAGGTTGCCATTCAATTCGCGCATCACATGCACGACACATCACCAGACTAGCGTTTTCTGGGTACACGCGAGTTCGAAGCCGAGATCTGAAGAGGCGTACCGGTCCATTGGGGAAAGGCTGCACCTGCCTAGGCGAAATGATCCCGACGTTGATGTGCTCAGGCTCGTCTGCGACTGGCTGCAGACAGAGGAAGCTGGCTCGTGAGTGATGTTCTTGGACAATGTTGACGATATCAATAGCTTCTACACTAGCTCCAGTGTCGGCAAAGCATCATTCACTACACTCAGACATACACACACAATTTGTTTCGCCCAGTGGCTTTAACCAATAAGGCACTAGTTGCTGTTGTACACATCTGTTTCCCAAGCTTTGTCATGGTCTCGTAAAAGCCCATACAGCATCATTCACTACAACACTGCCGTAATGCCGGGAAAGTTTACCATTTATCATACTTATCTGACCTGAAAACTCGTGATGTGGCCTCTTTAAGCTCTATTACTGTCATAATTCTAATGTCCTTAAGGATGGCAGCAGTCATCTCACTCTGCACGTAGATTAGTAGGCAACCCCATGGCCTCAGCTCTCAGCCCATCTTGCAAGGCTAAATAACATGTGAATCTAGTGCGGGGAAGAGGAACCTCGGGTCTTGATTGCCTACTGAACAGCAATCATCAGATGTCGCACTCGCTGCCTCATTGGTGTAATCTAAAGCATGTGCTTCTACGCCATTAGGACAACCCAGGTTCTACCTCCGTGTACTTGCGGCCTGGAGTGGTCGTGACCCTATGGAAAGCTGCATCTCGCACCTTGTGGACAAGTGGTCAGCAATCTACTGCATTAGCCCTCGGAGTCATCATCTTTCGTATTGCGATAAGAATAAGGCTGAGAGGGAGGACATTGTTTTGTTCTCCACCGTAAACACGGAAGCCTCAAGCTGCATGGTCAGTCTGTGTGAAGATGCATATCCTCCACGAAAGACGAACACTGCAAGAAGATCCAGACAACTGTCGTGGCGTTGCCTCAGCAGAACCGGAGATAGGTACCGTACTCAAGAGGTCCTTTTGCTGTACAGAGTCGTATCTTACATAAACTCAAATTCTGGGGAGGTTCCATATCATGATCTCGACCCCGTCGATAATGGTGACCTGTCTTCTCGGCCTGCTGAACTGCTGACCCGAACTCTATTAGCATAGAGCTCTAATGCAGAGTTAAACCTAAGAGTATTTCTTACATCCAGCTCGTGCTTCCAGGTGGTGCATCCAGACAGCATTGTACACAAATGCATAAAGACGGCTTCTGCTACCCGTGTCTCCGCCATCCCAACCGTTTTGTCCAGCCTAAACCGACTCTAATCGTCGACTTCGCTTCTTGACCATGTCTCTCTCGACAAATTTTCGAATTATTATTGCTGGAGGCGGTGTCGCCGGCCTTACACTTGCTAACGCACTAGAGGTATGAGCTAGATACTAGCTGCGCGCGAATACAGCGCTTCTGACAACATCCTAGCGAGCTGGGATAAACTACGTACTGTTGGAGCGTCGAGATACAATTGCTCCGCAGGTCGGCGCCTCCATTGGCATCGGGCCAAATGGTTGTCGCGTGAGTTCAGGTCCTGCTTGGAAATATTTATGATCGTTTCCTACTATATACATATGCAGCTCTGACCCCTTTCACCAGATCCTAGATCAACTCGGAATACTGGGTGAACTACTCAAGAAGACTGTGTGTAGATTACATCGGGAATTTCGCTTTCGCTCCTAACATGTAGTAGGACCCAATACTATGGATGGCGGATCGTGACAATCAGGGTCGATTGATTTGCCCTCGATCTGACGTGTGTAAGCTCGGATGGGCAAGGTGAGTACTCGAGGTCTCCGTTTGCGTCGTTACATTCATCGTGGAGTAGAACCGGATATGACCTTTCATGGGGAGATCGTCAAATACTGCTGCAAATCCTTTTCGACAATGTCCAAGACAAAAGCAAAATCTTGCTAAACAAGAATGTTATCAAAATTGAACACCGGAAACACGGAATAAGTATTACGTGTGACGATGAGTCTTCGAGGGGACCATTCTAGCAGGTGCGGACGGCGTCGCAAGCAGGGTCCGACAGGAGTTGTGGAAGCTGGCTGAACCTAGGCAGCCAGAGCTCGTGAGTCGTGACAAGGATTGTAAGTTTCTTCCTATTCACTTGTTTTCTTGTCCCTTGCATGCAAATTACCCCAAAGTATGGTGGCGAACTAACACAAGGAGGCATGCTTGCCGAGTATCGTTGCCTATTTGGCATTGCGTCTTCCGTTCAACTCTTGGAGACAGGAGACTTGGATATTGGGTATGATACGGATAGAAGTATTCTCATGATTACAGTCAAGAACGGAAGAGTCTATTACTTCCTCTTTGAGAGATTGAAAGCACTCTATCGACTCGGCAACATCCCACATTATAGCACGGCCGAGGCAGTAGCATTCGCTACAAAGCACGGTGACATGTGCATCCGGCCCGGATTCAAGTTCTCCGACCTCTGGAATAAGACAATTTCATTCCGACTTGTTGCTTTGGAAGAAGCTGCGTTCAAAATTTGGACGTGTCGACGAATCGTATGCCTAGGGGATAGCATCCACAAGATGACTCCGAACATTGGGGCCGGAGGCAATGCGGCCATCGAGAGTGCAGCGGCGTTGGCTAATTCAATCAAAGGCATGGTGGACAGACATGGCTGCGAACGGCCTTCTGAGAGCGACATTGAAGAATGTCTTCGTGGATATCAGAAATGTCGAGAGGAGAGGGCGGCAGCTGTGGTTGACACGTCTGGTAAACTTACACGCCTGCAAGCTCTACGAGGGCCCTTTGACCGCGTCTTCTTTCGGTACCTATTGCCTAATTCGGGCGATTTCCTACAGGATATGGCTAGCGACATGGTCATAGGCGCCTCTATGCTTGAGTATCTACCCCCGCCAAAAGCATCCCTGAGTGGAACCATGCCCTTCAACCCATTGCAGGGTGAGGGTAAGAAAGAGAACAAACTGAAGAGAGCACTCACAATGCTACCAATTCTTGGTCTCTTCTATCTCGCCATGTGTATTTTGAACTTGGATCCGTTACTCCCTTGGCTATCTGGGGTCGTTGAGACCGGCAAAATGTCTTTCGAGAACAACCACATCCTCGTACAGAAGACTTTCTATCGCATCAACTGGTTAGACAAGTTGTAGGTTTTGTGCCTCTCTCTATTTATCTATTGTATTACTAATCCACAATGTTTAGTTGGGCGTCAATTAACGTGGCCTTCATACCAGCGCTATACGGTCATGATGCAGAATCCAGAAAGCAGCTCATCTCTTTCCTGACTGATTATGGAGTTATTATCGGTATTTGGACTATAGAGTCTACTCGTCGGGCTAATGCTTTGACCTTTTCTCAGATGTACGTCACGTCGCGATTCTAGAATTACTCAACTTAGCTGACCGTGTTGCAGCCCGTCTCTGTTTTTGACACTCGGTCAGCTCTATGGCATTGGTGTCATAAGCCCTCTGTATTATTTTTTTCATTATGTCAACTCGCCTATTGAAACCTTCAAGGCCACCGACATGAGACTGACCCGGATGAATTACACTCTCGGAATTCTGCCGGCGATAATTTTCACCTACTACATCCCGTGCTACGCCATGATATTCTGGCCGTCGCCGCTTTTCCGCCAGTCGTGGTTGTTCGTTTGGCAAATGTTCCCCATTTGGATTTCCACCATGACTTCCATTTTCTCCTCCATATTTCCCGACACAATGATGCACGATAGAGTCAACGCACCAAAGCGTGATTTGCCGGTGGTTCGCTACACCCTCGGCACGTTAGTTGGGATGTCCGCAAGCTTCTGGATCTGGGCCTGGTTCATTAATCCTTCGGGTATAGCTGCGATTTTCTTGCCGCGCGCTTTACCAGCTACTACGTCCGAACTGTCTGGTTTCATGCACGAGTTCTTCAAATTTGACCAGATCTTCCTCTTCACTGCCACGTTCCTCTGGTTGGGCTATCTCTTCTGGGACATAAAGCATGCCGATATGGTCCAATCCAGCTGGCTTACAATCATCACTTATGCTGTCAGCATGGTCGTCCTTTTCGGACCCGGGGCTGCTGCTGGATTGGGATGGCTTTGGAGGGAAGACATAATAACGAACAAGAGGCACAAGGCAGCCATTGTCGAGGCAACCCATGCCAAGGTGGAATGATGACAAACGAGAAAGACCAGCTTATCAATACACGGCAGAAAGGAAATGAAATGTAGTAGTCTACAGGCAATGGGCGTGGCTGTAATTTACCAATTGACCTCGTCACGGCAGTGCCATGCATTCAGCAGGACTAGGAATAACAGCGCCACTGGCAATATTTGACCAAACGACCAGCTATTACTCAATTGGGGATGGCTTCCACGGTGACTGCCAGCCCGGTAGATGCTCGTGCCAAGTACGAGCATTATACCGAAGACAAGGAATATTCCAGAGGTTCGAGCCATCGTTCTCTGGAGACGAAAATTCTCTTCGAAATCCACTAAGATGTAGGTGGCAACGCTTGCGCAGACCAAGACGAGAAACACGACCATAATACCGAAGACTACCCATCCCCAGGCAGCTGCATTGTTGTTAAATGTCCTGGAGAAGAGGCACGTTGCCAGGAAGACGCCGGGTGGGACGCTCCAATTGGGATTGGCGCTAACTGGGGCGTGGCATATGGAGGGGGAAACCAGGATCAGGTTGACGACCATAAGCAAGAGGCGGAGTCGACATCGCCACTCTGACAATCTCTCCGAGAACTGATCGCGCAGAGTATGGAGAGTGAGCAGATGCACAGCGAAGGAAGAAAGGCCAGGTGGCTAGCAGCGAGAAAATGCCAAACTTGTATCTCGTAAATGGGGATATAGACCGCAAAACAGATGCTAATTCTAGCAACAAGCTGTTGATCGCTGAGGGTTAAGAGAAACCTAGAAAGCTTATGGGTTGAGTTCCTGATGAACTGATCTGTTGTGTTGTGATCCGGGTTATGGAAGAGCCGTAGGACGGCCTGTTGACATAATCTATCCGTTTCTAGACCGTTAATCGCTAAGCATATTATAATGGAGAGAGCGACACTGGCATAGAATGCCAATAGGACCTTGATAGATGACTGTTAGTATGTATGGAGATATGCTGCGCGTCTATACTTACGCCCGGTCCATTAATATCTGGATAAGACAGGTAGTCATTGACTTGATCCTTTGCTAAGCAACTCTGGTTGCAACCCATATTGAAAAGCCAACGGAAGTCAGTATTACAGTAGAGTTTCTCGATATTAGGGAGATGTAACGGGGATGGAAGATATGGATGAGGCTTTTAATAATACTGCTCGATAGTCTCGTTGTAAATAGGGTAAAAATTAGTTTAGTTTATTAGTGTTACAACTCAGCCTCACAAGGACCTTACTAAAGGTGCTTAATATTAGGCAACTTAAGCCACTTCTCCAAATCGCCCCAAGGGAGCTCACCGCCATTTTAAATTTAACAATTCAACAAATTAGATTACAATATTTTAGGTGCTACTCAATGGCCACAGGACTATCCTAGGCAGACTCTACTCCTACTATATGCAAGATTTGGCGGTGTAAGCTCTAAGTATGCCTTGCTTGCTTCTGCCTTAAAACGAAAGGCCATCTTTAATAGCAAGTGTTTACTCAAGGTCTCCGAGCACAACCAGCATATAATACCAACGTTAACCAACCCCAACAGATCCGTATCGCCCACCAGATGTCGTTCCTACAGGTGACCGAACTTATAGCAATTTTCTTTAGGCTATGGTGGCGGGGGAGGTGCTGCGCCATTTATGAACTAAATACAGTATCGGATGATTTCCGAATTCTATATGATAAGCGAGTGAGCCAGACAAGCGAGTGAGCCACCTCCAAATCCTATATAAAATGCCGTGTTCGACCCCCTTGCAAAAACTATCAGAATTTGATCAAACTTAACTAAAAGTTACTTGTATATTTGCTGTAGTATAGCAATAGAGTATTACTTTTCTGAGATTTTACAAAATTATCCTTAAGAAGTTATTTTAAAACTTTATTATAAGATATTCTTATAAATAGAAACTTAAAATATCTCCTTAAATAAAATTATATATAGTCTTAAAAAAATATTAAGCTGTTATTATATTAAAGTAAAATATATAAGTAATATATTATTAATTCTTATCAGAAACTTATAGTTTTTACAAGGGGGTTGAAAATGGTATTTTATATGGGATTTAGAGGTGGCTCACTCGCTTGTCTGGCTTACTCGCTTATCATGCACGTTAGTATGAATAATGCATTCTCATTTAGTAGAGTAATATATATTAAGATAGAAAATATAATATAGCTTAATATAACGTGGAAGCTGCACGGGGCTTTCAGGCTTCTATCGGCAGCGTCACGCTATATAATAGGTGTGTGCGCACAGCTTTAGTGCAATAACTGCTATTATTACTTGATCTTTTGCCTCAACAGTATTAGGTCATTGCAACAGGGCTCTAGTGGCACGATTCCTGTTACACTTAAAATATCTTAATTTTATCTTAACTTTATAAGATACCAGTAATATATAAGTTTTCTTTTTAAAGCTACTAACTATCTAATTTTAATACTAATAGTAATAAATTATATTTAAAGTTCAGGTTAATAAATATAATTAATTTATGAGATTACTAATTTAGAATACCTATATTTATTACTATAGCTAAAGAGAATAATACTATAGTTAATTTTTTATAATAACCTTATTAAGCTAGAGAATAATATAGAAGCTATTAGATATTAATTTTATCTAATACTCTATAAGATATATTAAATATAACTATAAGAAAAGAAAATAAATTATATTATTCTATTCTATCTTGAGCTTATATTTATCTTTATACCGCTTTAATAACTTATTAATTACTCAGATATAAGAAAGTTTATATTATATACTATCAGTATCTTATTAATATTAATTATTAACTATAAAAGGTTATAGCCTTTAGCCGCTTAGGTCTCTCTGGAAGCTATTATCGCTAGCTATCCCAAAGCTACTTTAGGATTATTTTATGCCGGATGTTATATCAAATAACTCCCAGTAGAGCTGCTAACCGGGCTCTTCAGACCGCGAGGATTTAACCAGACAGCCAAGTCGATAAGGCGATAACCCAGTGAAGGCCTGGTGCAAGCAGTGGCTGAATCGTCAAAAATAGGCCATGGAGGACGCGGACTGGCGCGTCAGGTATATTCCGTCTTGGTAAAGAACGTCTTGGTAAGGCACGCCCTGGTGCTGAACTTAATGACCGGCCATCTCCCTATTATGGTGTGCTCGGACTGCAATAGTTCAAGGAGGGTGATTAAGGCGTTATCATCCTTGTCCAGTGACTAGCGCGGAGCTCTCTGAGTTTTCGTGGTTGAAGTCGTAGGCTGTTTGTTAGCCAGGGCACCCTGCGACTTGAACATCTTGGTCCATGTGATGTTGTTGGATTGCGCAGGGATGCTGAGTGCACTTGACAACAGATGTTGTTATTATTGTTATTAACTCCTTGCAGTCGAAGGACCTTTGAGGCCTTATATCTTCGACTGATTCCTTCTAGGACTTGAATCCTAGATGACAGTCCTACGATCTGAGTTTTAGGACATCAAACTTTAACTTTAATCCTGAAGTTGAGGGGGAACCATCAGTTCTTCCAACATGTGATCAGCACATGGACGGACTGCAGATGAACTCTTCGAGGGGCTGCATCCGTGGATACTTATTGAAATATAAACAACTTCATGTGATAACCACTGTGCCTCTTTCGCTTTGTAAATTGACGCTGGCTCATTTCGTCACTACTAGAGTTGTAATCCAGTTGCGCGAGTCAGAAGGGCAGTAAACCAGGGCTCAAATGTGTCCCTGGTCCAGTCGGCAAGCGCGGGCATAGCAGCTTGCAGCTGGTAAATGCCAAAATGCTGTCGGTATCACCTATCCGAAAGTTCCCACCAAGCACGCCCTATTTTCTATTATTAGATACTCAAGTTGAGATGAGTGCGAAGTAACTTACAATTTCCGCGCCTGCATCCATGACAAACAGGAGGGTCCAGATACCACCAACTACCGGTACCTGAATGACGGGGATCATAATAATCTTGTCTGTTCCTCCCCAAAGCGCAATGATACTGCGCATACGCTCATGCCACGCAGCGACCCAGATACCAAACTGAATATTGGCAGTATCCATGTTGCTGGATGAGGTCTTGGTCTCGATGAAGATAGGAGCTGGTCAGGTGCGGAGAGGTTCATATATAGTTTGGTTGAAGATAGCCATTGTGTGCGGCTGCTTATCCAAGAAAGTGTCAATGAGATTCTGAATCTCCTTTTCGGGACGAAGCACTACAGCAAAGTCAACCATCTTATGGACTGACGATGCAACAGCACTCGTCCGAGTCTGTGGCGTCCCCGAATCCTTCACAGACAGGATGCTTGTGCTGGATACACTGTCGTTGGACGGTTGGGATGGGCTCTGATCACCAGTCTTTGACAAATAATAAAAAGCCGACACGATTTGAGCTGAACGTCTGCTTCGTCAAGTCTACCAAGCCTACGGGCCTTGCCGTTAAACTGCTACGGGACTTCAGGTTGCTTTGATAGGCCAGCTCTAGGCCAGCGGGAATGGTAGGAAATGCAAGGCGGATGTGAAAAGATGCCAGCTGCGCTGATGCCAGTGCCGGACGAAACGGCCATGGCAAAGAATCAAACAAGAGCTGTCTGTAAGATGGATGAGAGAGCTGGAATCTCAGATGGCAGGTAAGGCACATATTGAAGATCTCTAACACCTCATTGAGTCTATATTCTCTAGATTTCCATTTGCTAGGCATTTTATTCTGTACACTTTCTTTCTCCTCCTATCCTTTTCTACCAGTTTTGTGAGCACTCAATTCTCCACTTGACAAAGAAGTTGTTCTGAATAGCCGCATTTGAAAGGCGCAATCAATCAAGCAAAATTTGCCGAAAAAGGAGGTTATGCGAGGTGTTCAACACAGAGTAACGGAGATTTATTTGAACACGAATCCCGCCAGTAGCCGTATTACCAAGATGATATCAACAGTCTGGCGGCCGGATCTAGCAGGGTTCGCGCGGAAGACGTGTGACCGCCGCCATAATTAAGATGAAGTGAGGTAGTGATTAACTGTAGTACTTCTTGGACACCGTATCAGTTCCAGGAATGGGCCGTACAGAACATGGGCATCAACCCACCGCCCGTCTCTCGCTGCTGCCATCAAATGGCGGCACCTTGGGAAGAAACGAGGCCCGGAACCAGGTTTACTGGCTCAGACACACCGGCGAAGATCCCTGCGGGCTCTGACAACTATTCCAATGGGGCTCAAGGCGCACGTCTCTCGTGAAGGGACGTCTATTGGATTGCCGAGTCTGGCCTGCTAAAGGTTGCTCTCTGGCTGCCAAGACCCAGCACAGGAGGGCGACAAACAACCATGCACCCGAACGAAAACTTCTGCTGACAACGTCCCGGGAACTCAGGCGTGATTCTATGTGATGGGGTTTCTCTTACCAAGCATGAGTCCCGGGATCGTAGAGTTCAAGGGCAGAGCATCCGCCCGGTAGAAGGCACAGAGCCACGCCATGGGATCCCTCCGCCAATCACCAACACCTAAGGATAAGACGCGCTTGATCGACACTCTGGGATTCAACAGAGGGACCCAAAAACCACCCAGATTCCACCAATCACTAGTCCCAGCTTGGTGCTCTCGTGTGCTCGTGGGCGCTATCGTGGTGTTTATCCCCCCTTTCCCCAACTATCGTAAGGGTGAT